TGGATGGTTTGTTGGTTGGATGCACAGTTGGATGCCTCCATCTCTTCTCCATCAGGAAGCCTAAAACAGGAATCCTGATGCTGAACATGGGCGGTCCAGAGAAACTGGAAGACGTCCACGACTTCCTGCTGCGGCTCTTCATGGACACCGACCTGATGAAGCTTCCTGTTCAGAAGTGAGCTTCAGCACTTAGCACGTCTCCGTTAGCATCTCCGTCGCTACGCTAACCCTCTGACCCGCTGTCTGCCCCGCAGCAAGCTCGGCCCGTTCATCGCCAAGCGGCGCACGCCGAAGATCCAGGAGCAGTACAGCAAGATCGGCGGCGGGTCGCCCATCAAACACTGGACGTCCATGCAGGGCGAGGGCATGGTGAGGCTGCTGGACGACCTGAGCCCCGACACAGGTTAGCACCTCTGGAAACAGTTAGCACCTCTGGAAACAGTTAGCATCTCTTGAAACAGTTAGCACCTCTGGAAGCAGTTAGCACCTCTGAAAACAGTTAGCATCTCTGGAAGCAGTTAGCATCTGTAAAATCAGTTAGCACTTCTCAAAACAATTAGCATGTTCAGAAGATGTTAGCTGTTAGCACATCTGTAATTGGTTAGCATTGCATCAAGTGGATTGTTGGACCAGGTTGTGTTTCCAGGGGGACAGATTTGTGCGTGACACAGACAGACGGTGGGTTTTGGTACTTCTACAATAAAGACGATCATAAACGATAATTCTGCTGCAACCGTTCATTCTATGCAGTTGGATTAGGACAGAACAGAGTGAAAGAAGCATCTGTGTAAGCTGCTAGCATCGCCGTTAGCGCTGTCATCTGATAGCCAAACTGTGAGGGAAGATAGTGGAGGAGTGTCTGCTCACACCCTGCAGCTCTCTGCTATCTGAAACGCCACAATCAGCAGCTGCTCAGCAGAGTTTCTGCCTGTTTTCAGACTTTTGTTGCTTTTTCCTCTCAGTTTTAAAGTTGGCAGTTTAAAGTCAGAAACAAGCAGCTTCACAGACTTTGTTCAAAATAATAATAATCTGATAAGAATAATGAGACGGTTCACCTTAAAGAATGTGTTCAGAAAGAAGAATCTGTTTAGAATAACAGTTCTTTTTAGCTTTAATAGTTCTTCAGGGTTGGGAATCTGACAGAAGGATTTTTGACAGTTTGTTTTTTTCTGCTGTGCCTCGTTTGATTGGACTGACTCGTCATTTCAAACCTTTTCTCAGCTCCTCACAAGTTCTACATCGGCTTCCGGTACGTGAACCCGCTGACGGAAGACGCCATCGAGGAGATGGAGCGGGACGGCGTGGAGCGAGCCGTGGCCTTCACCCAGTATCCCCAGTACAGCTGCTCCACCACAGGTTGGCGGCGCGTCGATTCGCTCTGGAGACGATCCGAGTTCGGTTTGCTGCTTAAAGCGATAACGCCTCGTCTCCGTCAACAGGCAGCAGTCTGAACGCCATCTACCGTTACTATAGCAACAGAGGAGACAGGCCGAAGATGCGCTGGAGTGTCATCGACCGCTGGCCGACACACCCCCTGCTGGTGGAGGTTAGAAATTACAGCTGCTGGAAAATTCAAATAAAAAAAAGACAAAAAATAAATAAATTAGAAAATGTTACTAAATATAATGTTTTGTTTCTCTAGTGTTTTGCAGAGCACATCAGAAATGAGCTGCTGAAGTTTCCAGACGATAAGAGAGAAGATGTCGTCATTTTGTTCTCGGCTCATTCGCTTCCAATGGCTGTAAGTCAAAAAGATCTGGGATTTATTGATGGGGCTTATTAATCAATCAGTTACATCCTGATTCGTATTAACTTAAAGGGTTTTTAAGAAGTTTTGATGCGATTTACATTAAAGTCGAAACTTAAACTGCCCTCTGAACGAGACTGTATAATAGTTTGGAAACTAAATAGAAAGACTTTGAAAAAGTGAACAAAGTTCTGGAAAGACGACCTTTACAGTTTGGAAAGAAAAATGTGATGTTTAAGAAAGTTTGTCCAATAAGTTTATTCCAAGAAACTTACTTAATCTGCAAAGGTTTTCTGTAAATTCTGGGAAATGACAGTAATCTCTGCTAAAGTAAAGCATTTTTAAAGCATTTTCTGGAAAGTAACTTGGAACATTCTAGAAAATGTCTGCAAGTGCCAATGCAAGTTTTAGAAACGTATCCTGTAAGATCTGAGAAAGTAATTCGAAGCTGCATAAAGTTACCCTGTAAGTTGGAAAGAACCCTGAATAATCTGGAAACGTATGCTGTGAATTCTGGGAAATTATCCTTTAAACTGCACTAAAGTATTTTGTAATTTCATAGAAAGTAATCCAGGAGTTTAGAAAAAGGTAATCTGCAAGTTCTAGAAAGTTTCTTAAAAGTTACCAGTAATTTCTGCTAAAGTAACAAAAACGTTTTTGGAAAGTAATTTGAGACGGTCAATAAAAGTCTGCAGTCAGTTCCTGTTTGTGTCTGCAGGTGGTGAACCGAGGCGATCCGTACCCGCAGGAAGTGGGCGCCACGGTGCAGCGGGTGATGGAGCGACTGGGACACTGCAACCCCTACAGACTGGTGTGGCAGTCCAGGGTGGGTCAGCGAGTTTATGCTAATGCTACACTGTAAAAGTCTCATCTGGGTAAAAATTAACTTCCTCTTATTTATTTCCCATTAGCCACTTGGTTTTCAGGAGGTAATTTTCCAAGATGGCCGCCACTTTTGAACCTTTTAAACAAGTTAATGTCTTATAGTGTTACATATTTTAATGACTTTCAACTTTATGTCACATCCTGTTTTCAAGGTTGGTCGTCTTATTCATGCAACTTTGAAGTAATAATATGTAGAAAAATCAGAAACTAAACTTTGCTGCTAGCAAGTCCAGTTAGCTGGAGGAGATGAAAACATTGTGTCACAATGATTTTACAATCATTTTAATGGTTGGATTTTAAATGATTTTTAAATTGAGCTTCTGCTTGTTTTGCTTTTTAAGGTGTTTAAAATATTTTGCCTATGATTTGACACCAAACGCATTTTTGATTTTGGTGCAAAAATAAATTCTCCATGGCAACTATTTTGAAAAATAAAGCAGCTGTCGGTAAATCTGAGTTAAACTGGTCCAAATATGTACGATTTGACAACAAAAATATTCATCTATAATAAATATTGGCATATTAATTAAGGGGAAATATTTTAGTCAAATATTAAATTATCTGCTGCACTGTTAATTGTTGCCCACAAGATGGCGCCAGACATTAACCAACAACCAGAGCCTGTTAACCTTCAGTTTGCTGCAGCAGGTTTAACCTTTAGTTTGCTGCAGCAGGTTTAACCTTTAGTTTGCTGCAGCAGGTTTAACCCTTGGTTTGCTGTTGTAGGTTTAACCTTTAGTTTGCTGTTGCAGGTTTAACCCTTGGTTTGCTGTTGCAGGTGGGCCCCATGCCGTGGCTCGGGCCCCAAACCAATGAGGTGATCAAAGGTCTGAGTGAGCGAGGGAAGAAGAACATCCTGCTGGTTCCCATCGCCTTCACGTCCGACCACATAGAGACTCTGCACGAGCTGGACATCGAGTACGCTCAGGTGTTGGCCGAAGAGGTGAGGAAACTGTTCCTCCATTTAACCGTGACCTTGACCACCACGAGGTCACATGTTCACCGTTTATAGCAAACTGCTTTACATGTTAAAAGAACTTCCAGCCAAATACATTTGAGGCCTTTATTTCAGATTAAAACAGAATAAATGGATTTTAAAAGGAGCAAACGAAGCCTGATAACCATTTTTTTCTCAAATTGAAGAGATCAAAACCTGAAGAATTAAAGGTTAAAAGAAAACAATAAATGTAGAAAACAAGTACAGACAGAGTCAGAAATACTTTATTGATCCAAAATGGAAACTAAATGTTGATGTAACTCATATTAATTAAGTCTTCTAAAAATAACTATTTTTTTCTTAAAGGACCTATTGTTGACACTGTTTTACCTCCATATTGTTTCAGCTGCAGAAACAGGCAGAGTGTTTATAAAACGATCCACTCAGCCGGTTTTTGGTAGTAAGTTTAATGTTTTATAGTGTCGTTGAGCCGTTTCAGAAACATCTGGATTGTAAGGTCTCAGCCCCGTTGCCTAGCAACCCTGGCCAAGCCCAGCCCCGTTGCCTAGCAACCCCGCCAGAGTTCCAGCATGTTTGGTCAGTTGGTTTTGCCGCTGTACAATGGCTGCTGGTGTTTTTGGAAAACAGAAAACGATAAATAAAAAGTTTATTTTAGAGAAAACCGGTGCAAACTGAGCAAGCAAATATTTATCTGCTTTTGTTTTTTTAATTGAAGTGATGCCATCCTGTATGAAAATGTAGCTTTAATCAAACTCATCATGTTCTTTTTTCTCCAGTGTGGAGTGGAGAACATCCGCAGAGCCGAGTCGCTGAACGGAAACCCTCTCTTCATGAAGGTGAATCCTCATCTCTGTCACATTTAGCATTTTATTTAAAAGCTGATTAAAGGAATTAAAGAAGAAAAACCAACAAAGCAGCATCAGTTTGTGTTTCCAAACTGGAATCAAATTTTTTTAATCATCTGGATGTTTGAACAGGATTTTATTTTAGCTGAAAGCTTAAAGGACCCGGCAGGTTTGAGACTGTGAGCGACGCCTCCCCTGGTCCGTCCAGCTGCTGCAGCTGCTGCAGCTGCTGCAGCTGCCGCCGTTATTAAAGAAAGGTTCAGATCAATGGGAACCTTTGGAGCTGACTCCAGTAGAACTGAGCGGCCCGGCTGGCCGGCTGCTCGGACCCGCTGCGCTCAGAGACCCTGGCAGGCCTGCGAGTGTCGGCCTGGGAGGAAATCAATATCCACAGGATGATTAGTTGGTAGTTACTGAAGGATGGTTTCCTCGCTGCTGCTGGAAGATGAAGAAAAATGTGTTGATCTGGTTCTGCACAGCCAGACGGAGGCCCAGCGCTCAGATTACCAACCTGCAGGGATTATAATCCACTACATTTACAAATAATTAGCACCAAGACGATTAATCGTGATTAATCGATTACTGAAATAATCGTCAGGTAATTTCACAATCGATTAATCATAAACTGGATTGTACAGATTTGAAAAAGCAACAACTCAGAGCAATAATTAAGACAAAACTGTGAAAGAAAATCTATAAATTTTGCTTTAAATATAGAAAATTTTCTTGTCTGTAAAAATGTTTTAACCAGAACCAAATGGTGACACTTTTAGATTCACCCGGTTCAAAACATCTAATATTAATCCTTTTTCTATCTAATTATTGATCTGGAAAATAGTCGTCAGATTAATAGAAAGTATTTTAGCTCCTTTGTTAAAAAAAGTTATTTAAATGAGGCTGTTATTGCATTTTAGGCATTTATAATATTTTTCTTGTTTTAAACAATAATTTTCTTTTCCTCATGTATTTGTAACTTTGTATAAAAAAAATCCTAAATTGTTTAATGAAAAATCTGCAGAATGCACCAAATTTTTATCCGATTAATCAGTTAATTGATTAATCATCAGAATAACCGATTACTAAAAAAATCAATGAAATAGCATTTAATTTTTACAATTTATGGAACAAAAAACTACATGATTTCAAAAGAAGTGGGAAGAAAAAGTTTGCAAAGTTTCATTAAAATATAAAGTTTATATGGTAACCCTTTAATGTGACCTTTGACCTTATAATAATAAAATTATAATCTTCCAACCTACCAAACTATTGGCTTCAAACTACGACACCAAATGTGAAGAAACGTTTAGAGCAGAGCACAAACTAACAGAATCTAATTTAGTTACTTTAAAGTTACTTTTTCCATGGAAACTGGATTTCATGTAGAGGAAACGTCGTGTTGACAGAAGCGGTTTGTCGTCATCATGAGTCGCTGGTTCGATGTTTAGCAGCTTGAATGTTTCCTGAAGCGTCTCTCTGTGGTGTTTCCATGTCCAGGCGCTGGCTGACCTGGTCCAGTCCCACCTGAAGTCCAACGAGCCGTGTTCCCGCCAGCTGACGCTGCGCTGCCCGCTCTGCACCAACCCCACCTGCGGCCAGACCAAGGCCTTCTTCGCCAGCCAGAAGCTGTCGTAAGCCGCCATGACGGCGCCGCGTTTATACCGAACTCTGGAGACGCGAACGGCGCCAACAACCCAGCTGGAAACGAGCAGCAGGAGTGACTGGATTCTGTCGCAAGTTCATTTTAAATATTGGAGATTCCCTTTGGTTGTTCTGTGTAGATAAAGGAACTGACTCTTTTATTTCTCAGAGTTTTTTTTCTTTAAGTCTCCCGACACGTTCTTCACCGACCGCAGAGACATTTAGTTTAATGGCTCCAGGACATCCAGTGTCTGCACGGCTTTTTAGGGCCACCGTACATAGAAAGAGTCAATTTCCACCAAAAAAACTTGGACATTTTCAGATTAAGTCTCAGAAAGTGTCTAGAGAAAAACTTTTAAATCTCTTATATCCAACAGTTGAAAATTTGCAAGAAAAAACTCAGGAAAAATTTTTACATTTTCTGAGTTTCCAAAGCCGAACAGTTTTGAAATCAGAAATTTCCATGTTTTTGGGGGTAAATTTATTTTTTTCCATCTATAAACATCCTTTAAATGCAAGTGTGTAAAAATGTGGGCTCTAGTTTTTCTGCTCTTATGGCAGCTTCGTGCCTTTTATACACTGGATAAAATCCACCCCAGCGTCAGTATCTGTTCCTGCTAGAGAAACGTCACTGTTCTTACTGAACTGAACATCTTTAGCTGGGCTGAACAAACTGAAAAGGTTTAGCTAACAGTAAAACCTAGCCTTCTACATGCTAACCGAAAAGATTTAGCTTCCAGTAAGCTAACGTAAAAAGTTTAGACAGCTAATTCTGTGTTGTATTTACTTTGCTAGACGAAGCTAACGGTAAAACTTAGCCTTCTAAGAGCTAACTGTAAACATTTACCTAACATGCTAACTGAAAAGATCTAGCAGACATTAAGCTAACTTAAAAAGTGGAGCTTTTTTTAAAGCATTCTCCTAGCTAAAAAGTTTCACTTTGCAGTAAAACTTTGGTAGCTAGCAGGTTTCAGCTAACATCGGGAAAAATAAAGAGTTTGCTTTGCTAAGGATTGGCTTAGAGAGTTGACGAAAAGGCTTTACTTCCAAGTTGATGGTGCTAGCAAGCTGAAAAGCAAAGCTTTAGCTTGCAGTAGGCTAACTGAAAAGGCTAGCAGTTAGCAAGCTGAAAAACATTTACCTACTAGTTGGTTTGCTGAAACAGTTTACATGTCTGCAAGCTAACTGAAAAGATTTCATTTATCTTTAAGATAAACAGTTTAGCTTGTGGTAAACTAATTTGAAAGAGAAATGGAAAATAGTTAGCTTACTGTTAGCAGCATGCAAAGGCTTAGCTTGCATAAGCTAACTAGCTACGTTTGGCTCATTTAGAGATTATGGATTCAGATTTTATAGCAGTCATACCAACATTTAAGAAAGATGCTACATGGTTTTCCTTTAGCAATACCATTTAAGCTAGCATGTGCTACCTTTACTAAGCTGTCGTTGCTTAAAGTCTTTATTTTTGGTAAAGATGGAACGTCATTCCCAGCTTTTCAGAGTTGCTGTTTATGATAAATCTCCATGAAGGCGTATTTTAAATTACTTTTCTTGATGCTAATCTACGCACAGAATTGCCTGTTATTGTTCTTCCACTGGATTAGAAAGGATGGTCGTTTGTCCGTCTCTTGTTTTTTATATATGCTGAGTGAAATGAGTGTTTTAAGATGTTAGCAAAGATCTTCTTGTTCTTAAATGTGTTTGATTGATTTTCTTACATACATGATTGGGTCGTTTTCCGTCAGCAATTATGCTAATCGATGCTAACCAAGAATCTGGTAAAATTCTGACCCGAAGCTACTTATTATAACATTAATAAAATTCACTTTCTCATTTTAATATTTCAGGCTGTAGATCTACTCTGTGTTCAGAAAGAAAGACTAGTCTCTCTAATTTAACTCTGTAATGTAGCTTAAAACAAGGAGTTGTTGCCACACATGAAGCAAAGTATAACTTAGTTTTGTTTTTATTTATTATTGTGTTCAAAGCAGGTCTGAAAGTAATGTGATTAAAGTACAACTTACTAGTTTGAAAGCATTTATTTGTGGAAATAACTGGTGCTGTATGAACTTTAGGACATGGTGTTACATAAATACACATGATGAGGTCTTCCTTCAAAATAATATAAATATCCCTTCATAAAACCGTCTGGATGTGTGTTTGGTCTTCTTGTCCTGTTCGTGTCCAAGTTTCAACCATCAAACTGCCCAAAAAATGAAAATGTTTAACTTTTCTCCACCAGTCAGATGGGTGGAAACTGACAAAATATTTATATTTTCTGCTTTTCAAGTAAAAGACCTTTAAGGTGAGACATATTAGAGCCGTTCTAGATGGGAAAGGAGTAAAGTTAATTTACAATTCAAATACATTCGCTAGAAAAAACAAGGCAGTTTTTGAATATCTAAATAGCAAATTTGCTACAAAAAACGCAGAAGAAAGAAAAATCCTACAAACTAAAAGAGAAAACACCTCAAACAGCAGAACAGAAAGTATAAAACTTCTGCTTTTGCTCAATGAAACAGAAGTCCTCCAGACCACCAGGGGGAGTCATCACATGTGAGCAGATGCTCGGTAAAGACGGGATGTAAAGAAGAAAGAAAAGTTTTTACTTCACATCATTCAGAATATTTCAAAACAGCAGCATATTTAGTGGCTAATATATGTAATACCTACTCCAGGCGCCCCCTGGTGGTCTGGAGGACTTTTGTGTTTGCAGCTTTTCATACTTTCCGTATTTTCCCTTTTCCCTCCATGTCTCGCGTTTGAAGCGTCGTTCTGTTGTATGTTTTATCTTCTGGAGTTTCACAGTTTAATGCCTGTTGGCATCTGTCGGCCATCTTACTTTTTAGTGAAAATGGTTCATCTTAAACTTGATTTGCGATGGTTCGTGTACCAAATATCAGCTTTTCTGGGATTCTGAGAAGCTTTTCTGGATCAGAACAAACGGGAACATAAACACATGAAACCGTTCAGCTTAGCCAAGATAACTTTATTTACAAGCATTTTCAAAACAGCAAAACTGACAGAAATCGTAAAAAAATATCAACATAAAAGATGTTTTACTGACAATCTGCTGATTCTTATTTTGTATTCCTGATATTGGATTCTTATTATTTTCCTTTAAAACTGTGATTTAATGTTAAACTTCCTTTCTCACCTTTGTTCGTTTCCTTCATTTTCTCCATCGTTTTCTGCCAGACTCCATCTCTCGTTTCCTCCTCCTTCCTCTGCTTTTCTTTTGTCTTCGTTATCTTTTCCTGCCTCTGTCCTCACGTCCATTTTTCCTTTTTTCCAATCTTTGACTCATCCTCCCGCTCTGCTGTCCCTCCTCCAGACCTTCCCATCCATTCCTACCTCTCCCCCCATCCAGCCCTTTTTTCCCAGCAGTCCCCTGCGGTGTTGCAATCACCTCTGCTGCTGTTGATTAAGCTGAGAGAGATTGGCTGTCCACGACCCAATAACCCCCGAGGGCGGCCACCCTCCCCCATCTTTATTCCCGGTCCTCCCCCCGTATCTGAGCCAGCAACAATCTTTCATTTCATTTTGCTCTCCTCGCCCTCATATCTCTTCATCTGCTGTTCGTTTTTGTTGAAGATTTTCTGTCTTTTCCCCTCCATCTCCTCCTCCTTCCCGCTGACGTACGCGTGATCTCGCCACCTTTTCTCCTCTTCAGACCCAAACATCAACATCCGACTGGGATTCAATCACAGATTCATGATTGAATCCATGTTGAAGTAAAACACTAAATCCTTAAAAACTTTCATGGCCTTAAATAGATTAACTACAGGTCTTAGGTTTTCTCAAAGGAGAACTATTTAATCTCATATACGTAGTTTTTTTTTTTGAGGCTAATGCTAACTAGCTGCTAATCTACCCATGCTATCTGAAAACTACATGTAAACGTGCATTTCATTTATGTACTTCCTCATATTTTCCCATATTTTGAGTCGCACCCAGAAATCTTCATTCTGACTCGAGGTGGTTCAGGCTTCCGCCTCATATTTGCTAATATAGCGTAGCTAGCTAGCTAAAAGCCACATATCCGCGTGTATCTTATATATGTATTTTGTTTCTCGCTGTACTTTTCTATCAGGCAAAACTTTGAGTCAAACTCAGACAAAGTTGCTCCCAAAGCCACAAACAGACTCAGAAATTTCACAATTTTTGCTGGATTGTAATGGAGCAGGAGCCAGAACCACGTTTTTGGTCTTAAATGTCATTTATGGTTGCAAGAAAAGTCTTAAATTTTACCAAAGATATTTAGCTGCATGTTTTTATTTTGAAGAAAGGTTTACTGAAACACAAACAGCCTGGTAGTGGCTGACAGATGTACATCCCATAATAACCTGCTCTGTGAAGGCGTGTAGAAACCTGCTGCTTCGGTTTGAACCGCTGAAGAACAGGAACCTGAACCAATGAACACTGAAATGTAAATATTTTGAGCTCTACTGAGGAGACAGGAGACTTTGGGAATAATTTATCCACCGAAGCAGAAAAGTGGAGAAAATCTGACTTCATGGGCTGGACATCAGGAAGAGGACAACACACTGCAAAAACACAAAACCTACCAAGTTTATTTGTCTCGTTTCCAGTGCAAATATAGTGAAATAAGGCAAAACTTAAAGTAACCTTTCAGCAAGATATGGGAGGAAGTGGAGTGAATAATTTGTTTAAAATTGATGAAAAGTTTTTGTTGTATGTAAAATAATCTGCCTGTGGAAGAAGACATTTTAATTTATAAAATGGGAAAAATGTTTTATTATTTCACTCGTAAGACTTGAGGTGGTTCAGGCTACTGCTAACGAGCTGCTAATATAGCCTAGCTAGCTTTTAGCTAGCTGGCTAGCTAAAAGCTACGTATCTCTGTCTATCATATGTAGGGTTTTTGTTCTCGCTTGGCTTTTCTGTCAAACAAAAAACATTTTACTCTTAGCATTCTGTGAGTTCAGGTGGTTGAGGCTACTGCTAACTAGCTGCTAATATAGCCCTGGTAGCTACCTAGCTGAAAATATACAAATACATTTTCATTAATATTAAGGAATTATTGACTTAAAACAAGCTCTTATTTGTTTTGTTCCTCACTCTCATCCAAACTTTGAATAAATCAAAGTAAAACTTAATAAGTGCTTGTTTGTTTCGGGTTTCAGAGCAATCTGCCCTGTGAATTCAGCGCAGCGATGCGGCAGGTTGTGCAGCTTCTGAATGTCCCTTTAAGTGAACAACCATCCCTCTGGGTGTTTCGTCTGTCGCCAGTAAATTTTGTGGGGGTGACCTCTGTGACCTGGATGCATGCTAACGCAAACTGACGCCACATCTGCGCCTCAGTTCGGGCCGCGGCGCTGAAGCGTCTCGCCTTTGTGTCCTGATGTCTCTGATCCAATCCGCCATCTTCTGCCGCGCCTCTTTTCTCTTCTCCCAACATCCAAACCTTTTATTTTGAAATCTTTAGTCTGAGGGAGTACAGGAGGGGGGTGGACAGTGTGTGTGTGTGTGTGTGTGTGTGTGTGTGTGTTTGGTAACTGCAGGCTGCTGGTAATTGAAAAGCCAGGATACCAGCACCTGCAACCCTCTGACCTCCTACAGAGAGAATAAGCATTGATTTCTCCAAAGGAAGGGACGGAGCGCCGGAGTCAGGTGAAAGAGAAACTGGAGGAAAAAATTACAGAGGAGGAAAAGACAAAGTGTGGAGAAATTATAAAATAGGGAAAGCAATAAAAAATCAAACTGGAAGGTTGAGAGAGGAAGGGTCATGAAGGGTTCATGTCCTAAACGTCTGAAGTTTGCAGGAACAATGTTTTCCACTTTCTAAGGAAACAAACCCATCAGAGCTGATCAGGTTCGATGCAGCAAACGCTGCAGCCGTGATCCGATCCGGCTTTTCATGGCAGTCCGACCGATCCGTTTCTGATCTTTTCACCCCAAATACGCGATGAGACAAAACTGTTCCTCTCTGGAAGGTGTTCAAAAAATCCTACCAGGAATTTTTAGTCTAGTTTGAAGAGCAAATATTTTACTACGCTTGAAATACGACAAAACTCGCCTCCCAGCCAGATGCAGGAGCTTGTTTTAAATAAATACTTCATTATAAGGAAAATAATCTGCCAGGTTTTAATGTTTTTATTTGACCTTTATCTGTACAGGTTGTCCCATTGAGGTCCAACATCTCATCTAAACAGACCTGTTAGATGAAGCAAAATGACAAACAAAACAAGTAAATAATCTGCCCAGAATTTGATCAGTTTTAAGGAATAACTGACTTAAAACAAGCTGAAAAGTTACTTGCAAGTAAGTTTGAGACTAAGATATTTTAAATAGAAAGTAGATCAAAATACTTTGTGAGACTTTGTGTTTTTGCAGAGTTGGTCTCGTTCTAACACAAACCAAACATGGTGGTGGCAGAGTGATGCTGAGGGCTGTTTTTCTCCGCTGCTGTTAATGAGGACCAACGTTTTGCAGCGCTTTCCCACGCTTTACTTCACCTTATGAGGCATCTGAGCTGCAGGTAATAGAAAGACAATGTCACCAGATTAGCAGCCAGAGAAGGGCTGTTGTTTCCATGGTGACGGTCCGACGAAGAGGAGCACGAGGGAGGACAGGACGGAGTGATTAAAGGTGTGGAGGAGGGGGAGGAGTGGACTGGGAGGGTTAAAGGGGAGAAGTGACAGGATGGATTGATGGGAAGAGAGGGATGGTGGGATGATTAGAGGGAGGAGGGAGGAAGACGGAGGCGATGGAGTCATTAGGGACACAAATAAAAACAGACGGATTTACGGAGCCGGTGGAACCAGGAGAGGACAAACTGATTTCACTTAAAACAAACGGCG